GGCGGGAGAGAAAGACCGCCCCCCCCCCCCCCCCCCCCCCCCCGGCATGGATAGAGGGTTTATATAGGAGCATTGTGTGCTAGTTTTTGAGAATATGGAAAATTTTAAAAAGTGGTGAGGGGTCTACATCATGGCATAGAGATTTAACTCGAGATGAAGCAGTTGCTACTTCAGCTATGAGCCTAGAATTGTACTTCAAGTGTAGTGGTTGTTACAGATGCAGATGCATGCTTGCAGCTGTTTTGCAGCTAAGGTTCAGTTATAACATTCCTAACAGCCAGGCTTTTGTTCAGTTGCCTTACTCATCTCAAAGTCTTCATCAGCTCAGATGATTTTCGTGAGAGGTGAAAATCAGAATCTGGAAGTCTCCAACAGATGAGGACGGAGAGGAGCTGCAGCCAATTGATGCATTCAAGTTTCATCTGGTGTTTTTACAGAAACTTTTAAATGTTGCCTCAGTAGTTTAGTGTCAAATATTTCTTTTTTTTGTCTGTGTTAATTTATTGATTTTTTTAAAGAAAATTTAAATTACTTTTTTTCTCTAATTTAATGTTGATCTAGGTTTGTATGTGATTAGATTAGGTATTCATAATGTTTGAGTCTGTTGTCTCCAGTGAAATTGCATGGAGGTGAATCTTGTTCACCATGTCAGCTGTGGAAGAAATAATTTTGAAATGTATTACCTTGTTTGCTCAGCAGTCCATTTAACATCCTTTGTCATATAGTTAACGTGAGGCACAGTAGTCCTTTTCATCACAATCTGTGCTATGAATTGTTAGGCAGCAAACTTTCCAGTTGGATCACTTTCATCATTGTACTTATGAAACTGATCCTTTTTTGGCTATATTTTTATCCGAGTGTGCCTGGTGCTTTAGGAATTGGTATCAAGAGCATTGCACAGATAAATGCCACACCAAGGAGAATATAGAAATCAAATTACATCTTCATAAAAATTGTGTTGTGATACGATTAAGTGAACTAATTTTGAAGTTCCATCTCAGACTATAATTTTTAAATTTTTTTTTTATTAAGGTTGTCTGCCTCACTTTCAAATAAAGCTGCTAGAAGGTTCAATTTGCAGGATGCAATTCAGTGGCATGTTTCTAGTACCTTGGGAAGGATTTCTATATATACAACTTCTCAGAAGGTGATAATTTGCTTCATCTAGAACTCTTGATTTTTTAATTTATTTTTTTTTTAAAGTTTACTGGAAGTTTAGCTTGTGATTATTGTCATTTTCCAAATAGACTGAGAGAAAACTCTATGAAATATTTTTATTTTTACAATCTCCAATCAAGTGACAGTATTTTTTAACTCAACAGATACCATTTGTGTGAAACAAAAGTTTTGCTGTTATCTAGTTATTTTTTTTTTTAATTAAATGTTACTAGTTTCTACAGTCTTTCTTTGCTGTTAGGGGTTTTGTACTTGTTTTTAAGCTTCTTATCACTCAGAAATTTGTTTCTGCTAGTTGGAATTCTGACATGGCTCAGCGTCAGAGTGCCAAGGGGCAGTCTTGAATATTTGTCACAAATCTTTGACAAGAAGAAAGTGGTACAAAGTACCAAGGCACAGAGAATCGCAAGAGTAGCATGAGGTTGCGCAAAGAGTGTTTCTTGCAGCAGACTCATGAGAATTTCCAAATTTCAGTCTCATGCTGCATCTCTATGGCATTGTTCCTTTCCTGCTCGTATAAAGGTTTTACCTGTAAGAAGTCCTGAATTTCAGCAGTTTGTCTCTTCTGAAAAAGGTATTTCCAAGGCCTGTATGTGATGTGAGATGGAAACATTCAGTATGCAAATTTAAAAAGCAGATTTTTCAATATTTATTGTGGCATTACCAACTGCTGTGATGATAACAGACGTACTGAACCTTCACGAGTCAGGAAGTCTGAAATGTTTCAGTCTGATCTTACTCCACATCAGGGTTTGAAGCTGACAGAACTTTTATTTCTAATTCAGGTCAGTGCTTTAAAAAACATATTTAGGAACTAATATCTGAGCATAGGAGTCTACCTTTAGACATTACAAACAGAAGGTGCATTTAAAATTTTTTTTTTAAATCTCCTGTAGGTAATTTTAATTTGAGAAGAGGAGGTGAAAGATTTGGAGGGCTTTTGTTGTTGTTTTAACACATTTTTGGTTCTGGCTACTTGAAGCACCTGCCTAAAACGTTTGCCTGACCTGGCTGTTATTTTGTTTACTTTAGAAACCTTTTTCTTCCCTTCTATGACTTTGCAGAATAGGACGACACATCCTTTCTGTGGTGTCATTCAAGATAAACTTGGATTTTACCTCACTACCAACACTATCTGAAGTTGGCAAAGCACACGTTTGTAACTGGTGTTCTGCTGAGATCCAAGAGGTATAAAGGCCTCCGTGGTTTTTATACTTAAATGGGGGAAGAGTAGCTGTCTTCCCTTACGCAACTTAAAGGAGTGGACACTTCGCAAATGCTGGGGTTGTTCTGTTGAGGCTTCCAGGAGGGGAAAGGCTGGGGCGTGACGGCGGTGGAGAAATGCCGAGTCCGTTTCTTCTCCTGGTGAAGCTGTGCTTCTTCCCTGCTGTCTGAGCT